GATCGTTGTCCCACTTCTTCAAAAGATCTTTAGTAGCAGATGTCGCCACTGGTCCTCTTTAGTCTTCCTGTTTTTCAAAAGAAAACACATCTCGCTGAGTTTCTTAGTATTCTTCATTTGAGAGTTCTTGGAGCTCTTCTGTCATCAGATCAGTTTCAAGTTCCATTATGAGCTCTAAAATGTTCTTTATTTCTCAGATGTGATTTTCATTACCATTAGCAGCTTGAGACTTCTTGATATATCATTCATAGTTATGATTGTATCTACTGTAGACCCGTTCAAGCCATACTGCCTAGCAACATCAGACATCTTGTGCCTACTTTCTACCTTGGCTATTATCTCTTACTTGGTTTGTATGGTGAGCACAATTCTTGACACTCCTCTTTTTAGGGTCCATAATATTAATCAGTTTCTTTTTTAAATAAATAGTTCAGAAAAGCACTTACAAAAATTAGAGAACAGAAATTAACTATCCCACAAAAAAGTATTTAAATGCAACGCCTGGATGAAATTCGAAATTTGTATTAAAACGTTAATGAATATCCGATGGGCCAGTTAAACTTTCACCTTTCGTAAATAAACCCCGATGCAAAACTTAGCAAGTGTCCATCTGACAGTCTCGCAAAGACTATAAAAAAATTATTTTTCAGAAAGGTAAACAAAAAGCTGGAATTACAAGGGAAAGTTTCAAAATTCGGAGAAATACTATCTGATCAGTATCGGGTTAAGCGGTGATTTTGACATCTCCCGCACTCTGAAAGGTTTTGAATTGTTACTTGACAACAAAAGAAAATCAATTGGTATTCATTATTTTCTGTCGCTTCTTTTTATGTTTGTTCAGTAAAGTGTTCGTCATCTGATCATAAAAATCTTTTGCAAAAGTGTTTGTTATCTGAACTGTTCGTTAACTGATCACCCACTGTATATCACTAAATGTCTTTTTGCTGCTGAGATTTATTAGATTGTAAACATTTGCCAAATAAAATGAATCTCAGCAGCAAAAAAAGGTGTTTAGTGATATATCTTGGATTGATTTGGCCTTTTATATCTCAAAAATCAAAATTTATAGAGGTGTAAATTTTTGTGAACTATTTCCTCCTGTTATTTTTGAAATTCATATTCTAAAATATTCTAAATTACCAAATTGTCAAACTAATTATTTCTGTTTTAAAGAAAACCATGCAGTAAACTTTTGAAAAAATGATACCATCAGGACCAAGATTATCCTGCAGTTCCAAACTATCAGTTATTTTAAAATGTTTTATAAAGTAATGATACTTTCAATAATGTATAATATCAAAAGTGAAAGAAATGGTTATAGAGGAAGCATCCTTATAAATGTATCTTAAGAAATAAAATTCAACAAAATTGTGAATGCCACACTTGAATATTAATTTAACATGTTTTAGTTTTTCAGATGATATTCATTACATTATTACATAAAATTGTTTTTACAATAAGTAACTCCTTTCAATCTTATCATTTTCTTCAATCAGCTTTTTGTTTTGGTATAGTCAATCTATATAGAAAAAGGTGGATTATTTAGATTCTTATTACAGGTATTCTTTTCATTGTTCATTAAAGTTTTCCTTTAAAAATTTTTGAATTTATTCTATTTAAATGTTTTTAAATTTTATTTATTCCTTAACTATATATTTTCCATATATTTTTAGTTTATCTTAGAGTGATTTATTGGAATATTTCAAAACACATTCCAATTAGTTCTTTTGTTTTTACAATACAGTGCAGTCTTGCTACTAATCTGTACTAATTTTTTTCCTTTTTCCACTAAATGTTTCAGTTAAGAACACAAAAAAGTCAGATTACTTTTTTAAAAAATGAGAAATTTGTAACAATACTTAAATAAATATATGTAGCAAATACAATATAAAATTTTTTAAAAAATATATTTGATTGCAGTCTATTTTGACTCTTGTTCATTACATATAACTGCTAATCCAAACAATATTCTGTACAATGATTAGTTTAGATTAATAATTATAATGCATTCTTGCTAATTTTAATTATAAATACAATGAATGTTATTGAAAATATGCAAGGAATTGTGAAGAGCTTTCAATAATCAGTAGAATATTTTAGTTCCTGTCATTTGACAACAGTAATAACAACTGGCATAACAAATTCTGAAACATAATACTGTTATAAATGTTCTATTCTTTTAAGAGTTTTATTATGTTATACATTTTGTGTGTATGTGCATTTAGTTAATCAGATGATATAAAAATAGGTACAATACATAATAGTAATTAATGATTAACTTGTTAAACATTGTCAAGATAATATTTAAATGAAAAAAGAGTAATTTTATAAAAAATTAAACATTAATACAAATAAATAAAAAATAATGATTCAGAGAATTTTTCAGCCAATATATAGTTGAATATATTCTGTATAAGAAAAAATATTTACATTTAAATTTATAAAATTATCAGCAATATCTAAATTTCAAATAAGATATTAAGGATAAACTTTTTGAAATAATAGTAATAATAATGAATTATTATTATGCAAGAATTAAAAATTAAACAAAAATCATTTCACTTTGAAAACAGTATATTTATCTTAAAAAATTCCAATGTTCTTTATGATGTGTAAATTAGATATGTAATAGTTTTTAAAAAACTTTTTAAACTTGTTTTGAAAACAATCGTATTGTGACCGGTGGGCTATCACCTGTCACAGACTGGTACTAAGGTGACACAAACCCCACCCAAGGGCATCATCCCCTCAGATATTTTTATAGTAGGCAAGAAGATCCAAAGATAGCACATTTTTGAAATCATCATCAATCTTATAATTTCCAAAAGTCTGTTATGTGAAGTTGGTCTAGATATTTCATCAGTCCAGAGGATATGGCACCCAAAGCCCCTACACAATTACCACAACTCTGGTACTTTTGTTCCACTACTAAATCTCACTATTTACAGTATTCAGTTTTTCTTGCTCTTTTTCAACAATCCTTAGATCTCTTGGGATTACAATGTCAATTAAATAAACCTTTTTCTTATTCATCTATATATATATATATAGATGAATAAGAAAAAGGTTTATTTAATTGACATTGTAATCCCAAGAGATCTAAGGATTGTTGAAAAAGAGCAAGAAAAACTGAATACTGTAAATAGTTAGTAGTGGAACAAAAGTACCAGAGTTGTGGTAATTNTATATAATATAAAACAAAACAAGGTATTAAAAAATAAATATAAAACATGAAAGCATTTGAGTAAATATCTTTTAGTTTTTACATTCTGAATAAAGCATTTTGATTAAACTGAACAATTATTTCTTTTGATAAGTTTAAAAAAATGAAGCATGTCAAATTCAATACAAAGATTACAAAAATCACATTAATAATTAGAAAATTTCTTAAAATATTAAAGTTCTTAATTCTTGTAGGTTTGATTCAAATTAGTCATCTTGGAAAAAATGTTGCTTTAAAGATTTATTCAAATTAACAACCAATACTAACATTGCTACTCTTCTTAAAATAATATTTAATACTTAAAAATTTTCATTTCATTTGTATCTAATATTTACATATATAATACAATTGATACAAAAACAAATTTACTAATATATCATGGGCTATTTAGCTGTCAAGATCATATTTGATAAAAGCATTTTAAAATTCTGAAGTAGCTAACTGGCAATAAATCTACTAGCAAGTATTTGTAATGAACTGATTACTATTAGTAATCAATTTTTGTCAAATATATCAAAAAATATATATTTATTTTCCCTTACAAAAAAAAAAGAAAAATAATAGTTAAGGTTAATATGAATCAAATTTTAATTTTACAAATAGCATATTTATGTATTATATATACATTTTCAAATGTGGTTAATACGATTAAATCATTAAAAAAAAAAGTGCAGAATTTTGTTCAGTTATTTTTTAAATAATTCAACATATATTCCAAATATTTTTCAAAAGCCATCATTATTATTTCTATAATTTTGAACATATTTCCTACGTTATTTTTTCCTGATATAATTTTATTTTTTTTGCAAATGCATTATGTTGTAAGAATTATATAATTTTTTTAATATCAACCATACTTGAAGAATGCAAATGATAATTTTTGGAATTATACAAGCAATGCTAGAATTTTATTAATTTCTAAATGGTATTGATAATATTTAAAATAATTAACAAGATTTCATTTATATAATATACATTTCTTAATCATAAACAGTTTACAAAACTTGACACTAAATAAATAAATAATGCAAATTTCTTAATATAAAAGAAAATTATGTCATTCATTCTTTTCAAAGTGAATCTTTATACTATTTTCACACTGAAATTTCACATATAGCTTAAGATTTATCATTAAGATACCATTTTTCCTTTTATTTTAACCTCATACACTTGATCATTTTATATCCTCTCTCTCTCTCTCTCTCTGCAGCATAAATATTACATACAAAAAATATCATCCGATTAGTTACAAAATGAACACGGTTCTATAAAAAAAAAAAAAAAAGAGGGAAAAAAAAGACATCAATAACCGTGCCCACAAAGCATTTTACTCTCTTAATTAATTAATGTAAATCAGATACGAAACAATGAACACATTTATTAATTTATTAATCTTTTTTATATATTAATGAAGCTAGCTTAGGTTATGGGACTTTTTGATCAAAGCTTTCATTCTTAATTCATTGACAAACATTTTCATCATTATATTAAATCTTTCTTTTCTTTTTAATAAGTTGATAAACGAATTCATTCAATTGTATATTATATCATTAAAATCTCTAGAAAATAAATAAATAAATGAAGATTTTATATAACCCATTTCATTCATACAGATCCAGTTTTAACACATGTAAACCAACAGATTTATATATCAGTTCCAGCTTATTCACCAGAGATTGCGTTAATCACAGATAGGTTATATTTAACTTAAATATTTTTTAAAAACATATACGATCCAAACTAAATTATTAATGAATTATTTTTAAAAAATACTTACAAAAGATGAGGATGAAGACCATGAAAGAGCTAAGCCTAACTATTTTTGATGAGTTTTATCTTTACATAATTTAATTAAGCGAAGATTATATATACGGTATTATTAACCCATAAGCTAATCATAGTTAGGAACTTAACTGAAGTTAATATTCACCGAAACTGGAATGTTTCAGAACCATTTAGCTTGTATCTGCTGTGCTATCACCTTTCTGATCCGGAACCGAAGACGACGTCACCGCCTCATAACGGTCGTTGGGAGAAACATTTTTTTTTTTTTTTCTAATTTTTCCTGTCTCTTTAGTGTCTTGATTCTCACCTGAATCATTAATAATTTTCTTTTTTTTTCGAAATAATTATAATTATATTGTTTTCCTTTCTGACAAGTTTAATTTCCTTTTCTTATATATAAAAATCTAATACGGTAGCAATTAATTTTTATCAAAAGTTAAATTACAAGTCATTAAAAATATATTTGAAGAATGCTTAAAATAATAATAATAA